AAGTGGACATTATTAAAATGTCAAAATAAATACCATACAGAAATATAGCAAAGGGGTTCAGTGGTTACAGACAATATAGCCTGGTCCTTCTAAAAATCGGACCCAGAAGTCCAAAAGTGGCTGCGGACAAAAAAGGTTGGTGGTGCCAATTAATCCTAGTGGAGGTTGTTTTGTTCCTCAGACAGATTTGTTGACAGTGTATCAAGAAAGTCATTAAGTGTTTGCTTTCACTGGGCATGACTGTCTCTCATAAGTGCTTAAATTCACTATGCAAGGAAAAACAGGCACTGTATAAACAAAGTCATTAATAATATAAATCTCACCTAGACTAAAAGAATAATACAGCCTGACTCATTGCTCTGCATAAATAGTGGTTTCCGTGGTTTTCCATTTGTCCTCTCTATGGATTTTTCTCCTTTAACGTATCTCATCTCTCATTTTCCTCTAGTAGTTCTTCAAGAAAGTTAATGCAAGCAACTTTAAGGAAATCAACTAATAATGCTTTCGTTTCTCATCTGGCCTAGCCAGCCAACAATCTCCCCATCGTAGGACTTCCCCGCCAGAAAGGCCTGAACTTAATCTCTTAGTATTTGCAAGTGAATCATTAAATTTGCCTTCTAGCTTCATTGTATGACTTGTTTGAGGGTCATTAATATGTATGTTATCCAACAGGCTATTTATTCCAGAGGTCGCTTTGCAACTGCCTGGTTGGAAACTAACTGTGTCTTCTTTCAAGACTATCTTCTGGCAGTTTTCCACTCACTTTGTTTTGAGCTGAGCAACAGGATGTGGTTCTAGAAGTCAGCAGCAATTTTAGTATCATGTAAGGAAAAGTCACTCCAGCCTCATCACACTATGAGTCCTTCCTCCTGCACACAACCTAGAAAATTCTTTCCAAATTTCTCTCGGGCCAAACACTACTCCAAGTAAGTGGCCAGTGTACAAAATTGGAAAGAATTATAATTGAGAGAAACAAAGAGAGAGCGAGCTGTTGGGGGAGTCCTTATTATCTAGGCAATATCAAGGAAAAAAAGCAGTGAGATAAATCAGGTAAAACCAAGGTGAGGCAAACACACACTTAAATTTTCCACTGCACTTAGAAGAGATCCAAAATCTTCTGCATTAAAGCCTTTAGAGAGTTAGTCTTTAAGGAGTTTACACTCTTTTTTATTTTAACTGTCAAAGCCACTACAAGATTGCAGGCAGGTTGGCTACCTTGGTGGACAAAGGTCCTCCCTCACCTGCCAGCAGTTATATCCTCTACAGGGAAGACTATCACTTCTGGCTCCTGCCCTCAATTCTGCATTCCAGCCTCTGAACAGACTCACACACACCAGAAAGACTGACGTTAAATACACTTCTATATATCTGCTTATGTCCATGAATAAAACATGATACTGACTCAAGGTTTCCCTTTGTGGGTGTGTACTAGATTAAGTTCCTTGAAGCAAGTAATACCTATTATCTTTTTCCTGCTCCTACTTCACAGTGCCTAGAATTCTTTAGCCACTTAATATCTTTTAAATTGGATTCTCTTTTGCATAAAAGTAGATATATTCCAGGGAAAGAACCAAATGAAAGAAGAGGGTGGGAGAGAAAAAAAGAAAGAGAAACATGACAAATAACCTAATGACCTCTATCAGATGGAAGTATTTCTAGCTGTTGGAGGTAGGGCAATCTGAGGCCATGGATACTGGAGTGATGCTAAGAAATGTAAGTTCCTTCCTGGGTGTGGTGGCACAAGCCTGTAATCCCACCCACCCAGTGTTGGAGGCAGAGGGATCTAGGCCAGCCTGGATACCTTGGTAAGACCCTGTCTTCAAATTTTTTAAAGTTAAAAACAGTGGAGATGTAGCTCATGGCAGAGGATTTGCCAAGAATGTTTGAGAACTTGGGTTCAAAACCCAGTACCAGAAAGGAAAGAACAAACTGAGAGGATGACGTGTGTGTGTGTGTGTGTGTGTGTGTGTGTAAATTCCTAATAAGAAAACCTAACTCATCTTACAAGTTTGCTGTCCCTTGTAGAGTAGGGTTTGAGGTAAACGTGTTAATTGGTTTTGTTCTCCTAGCAAACATAAAGGTAGATACAAAGAACAATAATCCTCCAAAGACATCCATTCCCTCCACCCCAGAGCCCATGCATACGATGTTGATTAGAGGTATGGATCTTAAGATGAGAAGACTACCATGAATGAAGCAGGTGGCCCCAATCCAATCACAATGGCACTAAGAAGCAAAGGGTCATTTCTAGCCACAATGAGTGGGAGAGATGAGACAACAGAAGAAAACTCAAGAGAGATGCAACACTGCTGGCTCTAAAGATGGGATAAGCAAGACATGAGCCAAAGAATTTGGGCAATGTAAATACTGGAAAAAGCTAGGCGACAGATTCACCTGCCAGCCCTCCAGAAAGGCATACAGTCCTGCCTGCGTCATACTATCAGTGAAGCTGAAGCTGTCTTCCACTGCCCCTTTCCCTCTCCTCCAGTTGGCCCACTTTATCTCATCCTTCAAGACTGACAAAAACCTTTCCTCTGAAAAATCTTAATTTTAACCGTAGAGGCTATACATTTCCAAAGAGTGAGGAGGACCATGTTATATTATTAATATAGTTAGGATGATGGAATTAATCATTATTTGATGGTGTAGAAAAATAAAGGACAGTAAAACTGCTTTCTTATCACTGCTCTTAAAAAGGGATGCAGGTATTCACTAGGATCTACCTACATTCACCTCCATTAACTTTCCATGATCCTTCTCCTTCTCTGGTTGGACACGTATGTGCGTGTTCACAGGCACATGTACATGCACGCACAGTGAGCTCACACAAAGCCTGGCGGAGCTACATCCCAGTCTGTGGCTATCCAGAGTCAGCCTGACCAAGAATATATTCATCACAGAGCAAGAGTACCTCCTGTCAGGGCTCAGAGTCTGAAACCAAAAGCTTCCAAGGGAAATTTAAGACACAGAAGTTTCCAGACACGGAGTTTAAGGCCAGAACAGAGTTGAGGGACTAAATAGCAGGACTCACAGTGTCATAGTTTTAAATTTTTATCCACAAATATTTTGACACTTCTTTTACTAAAAAAATGGAAACCAATTCTTTACTAAAAAAATGGAAACCAATTCTTGAGTGGAAGCTAAAGAGTTCTCTCTCATGAATACAGTATGGCCAACATGACTCATATGTCATCAAGTCACAAAATGCATTACAGATTGTTCTCTCTGTGCCCCCCCCACCTCTCTCTCATCACCTTCTGTGGAGGAAAAGCCAGAGGCTCAAGTAACTGAGGCCTCCTGCCAATAGCCATACGAGTAAGCTGTCTTGGAAGCAGACTTGCAAACTTTCAGACAGCTGTTGGCCCTGCCAACATCTTGACAGCAACTCATGAGAATCCCTGAGCCAGAGCCACTCAACTCAGCTGCTCTCAAGTTCCCATGAAAATTACAAGATAATAAATATATGTTGCTTGAAGCCACTAAGTTTTGGAATAATTTATAATACAGTAATAGATAACCAATGCCCCAAGATACAATCCATACAATAGAGATTGAAAATTGAAAGTCAAGATCCACATTCAATCTACAAATATATTTTCCTTGGCTCATTATGGTTTTTTAATCAGCCAAAATTTTTAAATCATTAAATTTCATTTAGAAATCTAAATGTCAGTCTCTCCCAAAACTTCAGAAGATCTGGCAACGCAAAGCCCTGCATCCATTATGGTCCGCACCAGTGGGGCAGTCCCCTAGTTCACTGCTGTCCCCACTATGCCTCTCCACACCCAGGCTAACACCAAGGGTCACCGAAAGTGTTTGTACTGTTCTGTTTCTCTTTTAGGAGAGAAATACTTCATGATTCCCGTATCTCTTTTGAAAATAGGAAACAATATATACTGAAAAGGCTTTTAGGAAATCTAGGAGAAAACTTAATTTTTGGTGGGAGTAAAGAATATTTCTCCATATGTAATATGCCATTGGTGTGTACCTATGCCATATACATACAATCTAAGATCACCCTTTTCTTCCCCTGGTAGTTTTGCTCATTAGGGAATTCTTTGGTCCTGTAGGTATGTAAGGTTCCTAAACCTCTTTCTTTGTCTGAGTTCTTTGAAATGTGGCCAAGTTAGGGCATATAAGCCTGCAAGTTCTAGCTCTTCAACATCTTGAGGTTAGCAGCCAACATCATACCTTTCCTTTTATACTGGATTACTTGTTCTGAGAAGACCCTTGGTGATACTGTCCACTGAATATTTCCAGTTTTATACTTAGAATAATTTTTAAAACTGCATTTCTTATTGTTGAATCATATTGTATCTGACCACAACCATACAAACTAGCCAAAGAGATACAGTTCCTACTTTGCGTTAAATACATATATTTTTCTATTACTAATATTTCTGTGGGATTCAGCAAGCTACAGCACATAGGCCAAAAATGACACACCATCAGCTTTTGTAAATAAAGTTTTATTGGAACACAGCCATGGGTTTTTTTGTTTGTTTGTTTTTGTTTGTTTTGGTTTTTTTGAGACAGGGTCTTACTATGTCGTTGAGAGTGACCTGGAACTCACTATGTAGCCCAGGTTGGTCTTGAACTCACAGCAATCCTCCTGCTTCAGCCTCCCTAGTGCTGGGATTATAGGCATGCACCACCATGCCCGGCCACAGCCATGTTTATTCATTATCTTTGTCTGTACCTACTTTTGTACCACAGTAGCTGAGCTGAATAATTGTGACAGACTCTACATGACTCACAAATCTAAAATACTTACTATCTAGCTCTTATATCTAGTTGACTCCTAAACAAAAGAGGTAAAATACAAATACACCAGTGATCAACAAAATCAAAAGTTCACTACACTTCCAAAGTACACCCTTAGGTAAAACCATGCTCTCTCCAGAATATCTATCTATAATCCATAGTTAATGTCTCCAAAGTGCTCTCCACATTACATTTGGGCATACACTTGGGCATATACAAGTTGCAAATTAACTCACCGTGGCAAGTTTCTGAACATCTTCATCTGATGCTCCCAGAGATGCCAGACCTATCTCTTGTGAAAACTGAGCAAACTTAGGATCAGCAAGGAGTGGAACGTGCCCCAAGAGTTCATGGCATGTGTCTCTGACAAGAAAAAACATCACCAAGACATGTTATATAAGAAGCTTTAGACTCCCACTGGTAGAACAAGACTGAAAATCCTAAATACATCTTTGTTCCTATAATTAATTACTGTTAATCATCCTTTAACATCTCTAGAACACAGATACTCCTTCTAGTCAATGACAGCTTGAGTTATATACTATACATTAAGCTATGTAATACTACTATTTTCAAGGACTTTCTATATGCTGAGCACATTGTGTTTTATTACATACATTATATCTGTTTGTCCTAAAGACAACCTTAGAAAATTATAATAATTTAGTGCAAGATCCTACAGATCAGGATGGGCAAAACTACAGCAACAGTCCAAATCTGGCTGGATTTTGTAAATAAAGTTTTACTGGAATACAATCGTGCTTAGGTATTTTTTGACAACATCTGCAGAGTTGATTAGTTGTGATTGAGATTACATAATCTACAAAGCCTAAAATACTTACTAGCTGGCCCTTATGGAAAGTGTGCTGATTCTTGCTATGGAAAGTGTTAAAATAAACTTAGGCCTCAGGACATCTCCGCACTTGAGTCTTTATGTAACAGTATGCAACCCAACTTGACACATCCACTAACTGAAAATTTAACTTAAATATATATCCTGCAACAAATAGCTGAATCTTAGTCCATGTAGCCTCAGTCATCACAGGCGGCCAACTGAAGCAAATAAGGCAAAATACTGTGGCCAATCAAGCTGTCTCTACAGGTTATTTCCATTTTCTGCCCATGTTGGATCATATTGCAGCCTTGCAGGTTTTTGACCTGCTGTGGGGCTAAGGCTTGTCACATTCTGGTCACAAATAAAAACAAATTATTGTGATTTTGTCTTTTGACAATAGCAATGAAATCAACATTGAGATTCAGTTTTTCAGGATTTTCATTCCCTTGCCCTTTAATCCTTAAATTGTGCTGCATCCCCATTGTGCTTTGCAAGGCCCTGGGAAACAGCAGAGAAAAGCAGTCATCACCAGCGTGGCTTTTCCATGGAGAGCTTGCCTGCTATAATGTCAGCGACTCCCAGGAGAGAGCACTTTGGAAGACTCTCTTAGTTCTCTGCTCTGGCAGCTGAACTAGGTAGTAATCAAAGCTTGAATCCAATTCCTTTTGCCTGAGCTTCTAGTTGGAGCTAGATAAGCAGGCGAAGGACAGATACAAGTCGCAACCAAACAAGGCAGATGACTTCCTGAGTCACTGCCCTGAATAATGAACTGTTTCCCAATTCCAAACTACATGGGAATGAATTCCCCCATGGCTCTCTGGGCATGGATCTAGATGCAGCAATATTTTGTTTTCCTAACCCCCAAAATAGCTGTGCAGGTAGTAATTGAAAGATGTTGCTGATTTCACCTGTAATCCTCTGAAGTATGTCACTTCAAATAGATGCTGTGATACTAATGCCAGGTGCTACCACCATAAAACACACTGGATGGTCACAGAAGTGAAGCAAGTGAACAGCAATAAAAAGCATGAGATTTTCAATGCCCACATTAAATAGATGACTTCACTTGATCAAAAAAATATTGTTTCCACAATTCAAACTACATTCCCAACACTGGTCAGATACTCCAGAGATATATCAAGTTGGAAGACAGAATAAATGGGCCAAGTGAGAATAAATGGGCAGGACACTGAAAGAAACTCCAAATTTATCCTCTGATAACTATGTGCCAGTAACCTCATTTTATTGCACATAAACTGAATTTGTAGAAAATAATACATAGTGGTTATTCTCCAATCACATTGCTCAAGACAGAGAATCAAACTCACTGAATTTTTAAAAATAAGAAGTATTTAAATATTATCCAAGCCACTTGTTATATCTAAGATGAAATGAGAAACAGAGAGACAGAAAAAGGAAAAGAAAGAATATACTGAGTATTGAGCTATTATATACTGGGTAGAGTACTACATATTTTCCCATCATATTAGTAATTTAACCTTCACAGTAAGGAAAGGTTTATAATAACAATTTGACCAATGGGGAATCTGAACTTAAGTAAATTTAAGAATCTTTTTCCAAGGTCACACTTCTAGTAAGAGACACAGACAAGATTTGAAATCAAATTCTTTTGACTCCAGAATTGTGCTCTTTCTCTGTTGTTTCTCTGCCTCTGTTGTTTTAATTTGCAGATGTGGCATAAGTGAGAAGAGGCTCAGCACTGAGGCTATATGGAGAGAGTTTAAATAAGTTAGCACAAGAAAAAAATATAGTCAGCATGTCCTAAGTCTCTTTACCTACTACTCAATAGTTCTCAACCCTCCAAATCATTTGAGGAGTGTTTTTCTAAAAAGCAAATGACTCAGTCCCACCTAAGATCAATTCAACCAGGCTCCCTGAGATAGACCAGTGTCCCTTATACTCCCCAGGTGATAATAACACATAGCCAGTCTTGAGACCCTGTCCATAAAAAATAACACTGAGAGGTCTTCTATCAAGCATTAAGCAATTAGTATTGTATGTAAAATGAAAGCCGAGTGCAATTATGTAATTTTGAGCTAAGTTTAATTCCACTAAAATTGCATCATGGTACTGAAGATAATGAAAGGTGGTGACTGAAAGGCAAATAGGTAATCGCCTTAGTTATTTTCTCATTACTGGGACAAAATACCTGACATCAAGTTAAAGGAGGAAAGGTATATTTTAGCTCAAAATCTGTAGAGGTTTCGATCCATACTCTGGCTGGCTCCATGGAAGAGGGCATGGCAGAGGAAAAGCAGTTCTCGGCATGGCAGGCAGGAAGCAGTGAGCCTTCCTTCTTCCTTCCTTTCTTAATCCATCCAGGCTATAAACCTATTATATGGTGCCACCCACACCTCGGGTGGGTTTTGCCCCTTTAGTAAATCCATCATCAACATCCAGATCTATGCTAAGCCAATAAGTAGGATAATCCAGCATCACACACCCATAATCTAGTCATCCCCCAGAAGTGAAGCCCATGAGCACATGAGGCTTTCAGGAGACACCTAGACATAAGCCATAACCCTAACTAACTACTCTTAAATGTGGATGCACTTAATTTTGTTATAAGTATAATATATGAATGCTGAGATAGGACCCTGTAAACACCTTTGGGATCAATTTTTTTGAAAGGTCATGCAGCCTATACAGGTGTTCGAATTAAGATCAAGTAGACCACCATGGAAAAATTTAAAATACCCCTACCAAAAGCCCATGAGGTAAATACTGAAGCACCCCTACAGATCTCGGAAAACATGGCAAGAGTAATTTCAAATTAAACCAGATGTCAGACTCCAGGAAAATGGTGAAACTGGTATAGCTCACGGTATAAATAAAAGGTAAATATAAATAAATATAAATACAATAAAATATAAATAAAGGTAAAATAAATAAATATAAATAAAAGGTAAGCAGAAACTAATCGAATGTTTTCCAAGGGCCAGTAACTGTGCAAGGTGCTTCATGATGTAAGGAGAGAAAAGAATAAGTCATGGGCCACAGTGGTCCATTCATTGATTCCTAGTACAACACTAGATTTACTTTTGAGCTCCTTAAATACTTTTAAAAAGCTGATGCCCGGATGGGGATTTAGCTCAGCAGTTCCACCACCTGCCTCACAAGTGCAAGGTCCCGAGTTCAATCCCCAGTACCAAAAAAAAAAAAAAAAAAAAAAAAATCTGACAAAAAATTTGAAAGGAGAAATTGTAAAAAAAATCTGATGCAAAAAATAGCCTTTTACATACCTAGGAACTAGCAGAGTCCAAAAGCTTGTTGGTAAAAGATAAAGTAAAAAGCTGGCAATGAAAAAGGAAAAAATACTAGAGGTCCAAAGACATTAAGGAGTCAGTTCTCTGTGATAGAAAAGGAGCTATCATTTATACATTAAATTGTGTTATTATCAGAAACCTATAATTTGCGGGAACACTTAAGAACCCCAAGAGCATTCAAAATAAGCCAACTACACATAGCATAAAAGAAATAATTAATTTTGAAGAAAAAAACACACAATAAAACAATAAATTATATTGTTTCATTGAAAATGGGAGCCTGAAGCAAGATGTCTAACAGAAGTATTAATGGAACATTAGGGATACCCTTTCCTCTGTTATGAGTAGAAATGATTATGATGTATTTCATGAATCTGTGCTCTCCTTTCTTCTCTATCTCCAGGCAGTGACCCTGAGAAAGAGCTATCCCCTAGTTCCCTAACAAAAGATATAGTATGCACAGTAACCACATTCTCTGTGGGGCCAAGGCTTTAAATTCCTGTATTTCAAGATCAGGAACAAGGTTATTATATTTTATGCCTCTGTTGGAATGATGTTATTCTCTACCCCTCTATCTTTGGCTAAAACACAAGTAGACAGAAGAAACTGTGGTGTCCAGAAACATGTTAACCAAAGAGCAAAGGAACATTTTTAACATTATTAACAAAAATGATTCATTAACTTTGAAAAGTTTACATTTTTCTTTAGTTTCTTTGACACTGAAGGACTTAGCAACTGAGTTCACCATCACTTTCCAGGGGTGAGAAGTTCCAGGTTAAGAGGAGTCTTGGGGAGAATGCAAACTGCAAACTTGTCTGTCCAACCTTTGTGCCAATTAACAACTGTTAAACTGAAGTTACGCGGCTTCACTCTGTTTTACACAGTGTAAATGCTACTGCTGCTATGTCCTGCACGTCAAGTAGTTCAAGACCCCTGTGTTGCTTGTATTATTCCCAGCTGGACCCCTGAGTATCTTATTACGAACAGATTTCCAATGTGAGTCCACAACTATTGCCTTATCTCACCAGATCTCTCTTAAAAGATTCAATTATTTGGTCATAATTGCACCTGTCAGCACATGCTGCCTCCAATCTCTACATCAGCAAACTCTTCTCTTTTTTAACTCCCATCCCTTTGATGCATTTTCTTCTGAATAATGCTTTTCAGAGCCCTTTTCACAAAAGCTCTCTGTTCACTAGAAACGTAGGACCTTTCAAAACTATTAACACTGTAAAACGTCA